TATAGATCAGTTGGAATCATGCCTCACTTTAATTCAGCTTGATCAGTGAAAGCAGCTAAATGTTGTGGTAAGTTGGTTAACTCCATTATGATGATGGTATGTGTTTGAAATGAATCCTCTAGTGCAGTGTTTCTCAACCAGGGGTCCGTGGACCCCTAGTGGTCCTTGACGTAAGGCCAGGGGGTCCGTATAATGTATGAATTTTTGTATAAATTTTTTATATTTTGACATGACATGTTCCCATGAAAGAAAACTCCAATATAGCTGATGATGTGGCCAGATACTGGACAAGTCAACTAACTTGAATTATACTTGACTGCATTTGGTCCTCACAAAGATACAAATGATACATAGATGAGTCAATTTTGTTCTGGGGGTCCTTGAGGATGGTTCTGAATTGGACTGGGGTCCGGTACGCCAAAAGGTTGAGATTCACTGCTCTAGTGGATAAAGTGTTGTGTATTTTGGTACTGAAATCTGTAATTGTGATAATCACAATTTGCTTTTCTCGATATGACTTCTGTTTGTGGCTCAGCATGAATTTATGGTCCAATAGACATGCATGGGAGGAAGCTGAGTAAGGTTTCAACTGATAGCAGTACAATGCTGGGCATTCACAGAGTCGTTTCCGGGTCCATGCTTGCTGGAAAAGTGTGAAAATGGATGTGACCCTGTGAAGACATTCACTGATTATTACATGAGTCATGAGTAATGCTGGATATTACCTGTATTTGACCTCCCACACAGTTAAAAACAGAGACATACAAACAATGGTGACCAAATGACTCACATTCAGTGTCATTCAACCTTAAGCATCACAATGAATGGGTGTAGGATTTGAAAGAGATATTGAGAAATAATTACTTGCTCTCATCATACCAGTGTTATACTCTACCAACACGTTGCTGAGCAAGTAAAGTGCTACAAGACTGTTGTTGGTGAACTTTGTTCCTTAGTTGATTAAGACTGAGCTGTAAAAAATGTTTTTTAATCCCTGTGGTTTATTCTCAGTACAATGCACTCATTAGTGCAGCTGGGAGTTAAACCTCTTTTTAACTCTAGTTAAAATAATTATTAAAGTTCATTCTTACCAGTCAGTTATTAAGTAATTAAGCACTGGAATTCCCTGTTTGCATATATGAGGAGGATATTGAATATAATAAAAGAGCCCGGGACCTGGCTCGCGTCTTCCGCTGCGGCTGCACCCAGGGTCCGTGGTGTCCCGGCGCCGGAGTGAAGGACATCTGGGAAGATCGCGTCCTGGGTGCACCGGGCCTGTGCAGAGAAACACACGGAGTAGAGGTGGTGGGAGAGATAGCAGCGCGCTGTGTACTTACCTCGGACTTGTGAGCGTCAGCCTGGGATGTTTCCAGCGCGGCTCTCCGCGCTCTCAGCTGGGTCTGCTTTGCCATCAGGTCCCGGATCTGCTTCTCCACGGCCTCCAGCTCGACCTGCACCGAATGCATCTCTTTATTTATTCTACTTTCAGATTATTCTTACTTATATTTTGTTTTACGTATTGTGCCTAATTTTAGACCTTAGTACTTTCTTAACCACAATTTTAAACCATGAAAATCCATCATAAAATATGATTTAATTTAAAACTGATAATCTAATGATTCAGAAAACAGTTTTTATATTTCTTGTGTGAAAATTGTTATTTTTTTTAATTCCAATGCAAATTGCTGTCATTTCCACCAACAATTTCCAGTTTCTTCGAAAGTTAGTTTACTTGGATAACCTGGAAGCAACAGTGTCATGGAAGCGCTTGAATTTAAATTTAAAGGGGTCATATGATGCTATATTGACCCAGTGCATTGTGATTGGCCGAACACCACAATCACGTGTCGGAAATGTAACGCCCCTTACCATAATCGCAAGCTTTTTAGAAATAGCCTTTGTGCATAGCCAGCCGTGTACTCTTCTAGGTTAAGAAAACTGTCGTCCATAAAATGTGTTGCACAAATTCGAACATCTGGGTTGTGCTGTTCTGTTGTAAATAAATCTTAACCAATGATTCCTAATCGCATCTACTTCCGGAAAGGCCAAATAAAGTGCTTTTGCTTTCGCACTGAAATACACAGCGTCTCCCTGACATCGCTGCATCAACACTACTGCTGTTCCTGAAACCACGCCTTCTTTCTTTGCGTGCACATTTGGGCGGCATTATGCTAATATTTCCACATAGTGAGGTAGATATGTGGGGGTGTGTTAGAACGAGCCGTTTTAGGGGGGTGTGGTTAACTCTTAACTTTTATAAAGAATATCTTTTTGGATTTGAGACTTTAGTCTTTGCAACTTTACAGATCTTTATGCACCAAGAGCTTGTAACACTCCAAAGAGAAAGGAAAACTTGAAATCGCATCATATGACCCCTTTAAGACATATAATGTGTTAAAATGAAGAAAAATCAAGATAAATATGATGTATGAGCAGAATATTTTGATTTTGTGTCATATCTGAGTATTGAAGTATGCAAAAACTGTGAAAATATGAATTTTGTGGATTTAGAAAGCTGTGAAGCTGGCTTGAGTAAGACAATTTTATAATAAATAAATATTTATATTGTATTTATATACTTCCACCACAGAATGCTACCAAACACAATATATCAACTGAGATATGGTAAAAAATTTAATTAATTCATAAAAATAAACATTTTTAGATGTATGTAGGACAAAAGACAAAAAAGTGAGTCCACAGGGCCAAAAGTACTTATGATTGATGAAACACCCTACTTGACATAAGAATAAAAGTGTGCATATCATAAAATATACAAGAGCAGACTTCAGTGTTGCCCAGAGTATTTCTTTAGTGCTCTTTGGAGAGTCTATTTTCCAAACCACAACGTGGGAATCTGCAGCATCACATGTGATGGCATCACCACCCTCAGGCTTCCTGAAGAGGTCTGCCTTCATACCACTAATAGAGCACAAATACACACTCTCACACAGTGCTGAGTGCTGGCTTTGTGTTGCAGTCACATGCAATTTACAATATGGGTCCTGCAGGTCTGTACTCTTCCTGTATGAATCTACTCCAGGCTATCGGGGAAAGAGAGAGAGAGAAAAAGAGAGGGATGAGGAGGAGGAGGGGGAACGAGGCAGTCTGCCATGTGGGTTCTGCTGCACTGGATGCAGTCTCCATGGTAACATCGCTCTCTCATGCAATCAAATCAAGGAATGCGATCAAGCCCGGCCCACCCCCTTTAGCACAGATGCAGTTGTTGCTTTTATCAATTAAGCCACGCCCCCAAGCAATTTGTCTCCGCCCATTCTTACCCTTAGGTTGGTACTTAGTGATGAATTTAACTCAGTTTGTCACTAGATGTCAAGGATACTAATTCAAAAGGTTGCGACTTTGTAGTCCAAGATGCCACCATGTGTTTTTCTCCTTAGGGTGACATAAAGGATATTTTTAGCTTGTCTTGGAAGACTGATGTGACTTAAGTGACTCATATTGCCCAAGCTGGAATTTCAGCACTATAATTTTTCCATTCTGCTCTGCTGAGTCTTATTGTATGTCCTGTGTAGTGAATATCTTTCTCTCTTTGCCTCTGTAGTCATTAATCTTCATTAGCTCTCATGCAGTTAAACAGTCATTATCTTGTCCCCTTGATTTTTCTCCTATCATGTTCTTCCCCGCTATCTCTTCTTTTCCCCTCATTTCCCCTCATTGTGAATTACAGTGTGCTGAGAAACCAAACAAAAGGGCTTGGGATGCCCATGTGCCCGCAGAAAAAAATGCTATCTGCAATTTCATCACACAAGAGAGTCATTGGTTTTTGATTTCTTGAGGACTTTCTCTTTGAGATCACGATGTTGTGACACATCCTTTGTGTGTGTGTGTGTGTGTGTGCATGTGTGTGTGTTTTCTATGGGTATGTAGTGCTGTACACTACAAAAAAATGTTGATCAGTATTTTTGTCTTGTTTTCCAGTAAAAATATCTAAACATCCTACTTAAAGACATTTACTTTGACAATAAAACTTTTTGTTTAGAGGATTTAATTTGGATTAAGTTAATTTTATCACCTGTTAAGAAGTTTTTATGCATAAATTAATATTTACAAAAATAGCATACAAAAGTTACATACGCTTTTAAATATGTTATGCTAAAAACATGAAAGTACACTACTGTTCAAAAATTTGGGGTTAAAAAATTTATACTTTTATTCAGCAGGGATGCATGCAATTGATCAAAAGTGACAGTAAATACATTTATATGTTACAAGCTATGTATATATATATATATTTAAATGCTGTTCTGTTGAACTTTCTATTCATCAAAAAATCCTTACAAAATGCTTCTTGAGCACCAAATCACTATATTAAAATGATTTCTGTAGGATCATATGACCCCGAAGACTAGAGTAGTTTGTTTTGTTTTAACGTAAACTTGCTGTTCACAACCTATGTAACCTCTGTTTCAAAGCGAAATGTTCCATCTGAAAGTTAATTGTAAAAGCTGAGCTGACTTTTTCATTCCAGAATAGAGTCTGATCAAATGTGAGTTTGTTAAAACAACATCTAATGAGCTATTCAGCTGTTGGTGATCATTATCCAATAGCCTGTGTGGCTCAAGTGACATCAGCAGAAGATGAAAGTCGTTTCAGAGGGAAGCGTGACTACATTTTAATTTAATATTGAAAGACAAACTATAAATAATTATTAACAGTAACATCAGAAACATGCATTAACAAAATACATTTCAGATTCATATTGACTTGTTTACATAGTTTGACTTGAAAGCAAGACAAAAATACGTTTTTTTGCAGTGTATGTGATACAGTGGGAACCCTTAGAAAGAGTAAGAGAGATTCCTCTGTATCTAAAGGATGTGTTCTCTCTCTGCCATTTTCCTGTTGCCTTGCACCTTCACTCAGATCATTGGCTGAGCACATCCCCACCTCCCTTCCTTTCAGCCAATACCCTTCCACTATCTACCCTTCCCTTCCTTCCTCATCAGAGTCTCTCTCTCTCTTCTCTCACACACACATTATAGACCCTCGCTTGCTCACGCCCTGCTGCTGCTGCTGCTTCTCTCCTGTCTACTTGTCTTTCCCGCTTTCTGGATTTGCTCTTTTAATCTCGCTGTATCTTCTTCTTTGGGATGAGGGGCTGTAAGGCTGGACGGGGCTGTGCTTGGATGCTTCGCTGAGACCTCTCCGTATCTTTTTCTCTCTGTTTCTGTCAGCTGCGAGAACTCACACGTGAGTACGGCTTCAGGGAGCTCCCTCCTTATCCTTCATTCTTTCTCCTTTGTGCTTTCATTCTCTTCGTTAACTTCTCCATCCATCTCGTGGGTTTAATCACGCTGTCGTTCACGCAGCTTTGAGAAGGACTGTCTGTGATGAATAATTTACTGCAGTGTCTGGCCTCTCCCTTTCAGTCAGCTGGGCATCTCTGACACACGCATGCACAAACACACACACACACACACACACACACACACACACACGAGTGAACGGACATAATCACAAACACCCGCTAGGCTTTCAGCGCTTATGTAAAACAGCAGTGCTTGTGTGCTGAGAAATGCATAGATGATGTGCACCTAGGTGAGTGTGAGTGTGTGTGTAAACACAAGTATGTTAGCTGTCTCCTGTGACGTGTGTGTGATCAGTGTGCTTTGCTTGCACTGATTCGAGTCACACAGGGGAAAACATTGAGAGCGGCTTCCTGTCTCTTAGCAATGATAGGAACTGTCTGAAGACTGAAGATGTGTGAAACATCTTAATGATCCAGCAACTGATCTTCTGATGTATTTAAGAGTAAAACCATTTTGTTTTTCAACCATTTACTGATGAATGCTGTACCCTATTATAGTGACATGGTGTTACAGTCATTGTAATCATCCAAGCAGGCAGCTATAGATAATGTAATAATGACAACAATAACAGCACAATCAAGGGGCAGGACAAGTGACACTTATTATAATATTGTTTTGTAGACTACTTAAATACAGCTGTTGATGTGCTATAAAAGTTTTCTGTCTGTAATTATTTTAATTAGCAATGATAGTTCCCTTGAGGGAAATTACATTGCTTGTTAGTTGCTCTTTTTAAAGTTCTTAGACGGGATTCATTTATATCTATAAATTCAGTTTTTTCATATATGTGACACTGCATGTGAAAACCCACCTAAAGTAATTTTTTTGTGATTGAGTGTTTTCTACAAAATCATCCTTCATAAAGATGTAGAACATTCTGTGAGAATATAACCCTTATATCTTTAATATTGACTGAGTAAGGCCATGACAAAGATTGAAATCATAGTGAAATTAATGGTTGAAATCAAAATTTGATGCTTATCTCATAATTAGATTTTGAGACTTTAGCCTGGATTTCACAGACAGGGTCACATATTAATATAGTATTTATTTATTAATATTTTAAATTAGCTTTTTGTATTTTCAGTTTCCATTTTAATAGTAGCTTAATTTTTTTTATATACGTTTGTTTTTTAAATATTTCTGTTAGTTTTAGTTCAATTTAATACATGTAGTACTTCAACTTGTTTTATTCTAATTTTCATAATAAAAAATGTAATACATTTTAGAAAATCATAATATATTCTAATTTTATTTTATTTTATTTTAGCATTTTATATTTAATAATTTTAATCGTTTTCATTGTAATTACCAATGAGACAACAGATGACATAAGAATAATGATCTATACAATTATTATATAATTTAAATTTATTTATTTATTTATTTAAGAATCTCTAGAGGAATTCTTTCAGGAGAAAAATCTGAGATGAATTAGACTTTAACAAATGTCTCCATTTGCTCTCCATGTAATCTCCTTTCTTTCTAGGAGAAATAACTGAGATACAAAGATCTCATTTGTGATTTTGCTTTCACACTGGCCATTTCTTAGATATTAACATTCAATATATGACACACTTTTTACATAACAATTTCACAAATATTAAGATTCACAGTTTGCTATTGGGCACCTAATATAAAGTGGGACCTCGTCTCTGTATCAACTCTGTGGTCCAATAAAATCTGTAAGAAGCACATGAACAAGTGAATGGCACTTGCATGCCATTATGCGTACGTGTGTGTTGAAGAGTGAAGCCTGTTAGAAAGAAGAACTCACAGGAATGTCCAGCTGGCATTGACATAATGGCACCTGAGAAAATGAAATAAGACTAGACAGTGTATTCAAAATCTTCTTTAGAGGTAAAAGTCAAGTAGGGCTTAGAAATCTTGTCTTTGTTGACACAACCATCAGTTTTGGATCCATACAAACACGGTAGGACAAAATTCTGAAGCTTTTTGTTATAAAACCAAATAAAATGCTTTTTCAGAGTGATTTTAGACTCTGTTTGACTGTAAAACTTCCCTTGATTTGGTGCTGAGAGGTCAAACAGGGATTGCCATGCTCACAAATTACGTTTTAACATCCTTTGGTTGGAGATTATGATGGGTGGAAGGGCAGTGAGCTCAGCTGACAGATGTCTCTGCTTTAGTGTAGTGACGTGAATTGCCATCCATGGCCATTGTTCATGTATGTGTGTGTGTGTGTGTTCTTGTGCTCTGTCCCTTGTAGGATCACATTAAATGCCTCTCCAGTGACATACAACCCTTATTGTGATAGTTATGGCTTCCTGAGTGGCCATTACTCTACCTAACCATCCCCTTCAGGGTATTCTTCTGTGTTTTTGTTTGTATGGGCGAGAGCAATTTACTTGTGATGTGAGTTTTGTCTGCTGGGTGTGATACGTTTGTGGTGTTGTTAATATGGTCAACAGAACCAGTTTAGCTCATTCAACCTGGTTTATAGGCACCCAAGTGGGCATTCCAGTTCATAAACGCACTTAAATGCACAGTTAGTTTGATGTTACATTCATAATCATAATACAAACAGATTCTATTTAAAAGCCTTTGCTGATTCTTGTGTCTGCTTGTACCTAAAATATGTACACTATCTTTGTTCTTATTCAAAAGGGAAACAATTGTGCTTCCTGACGTCTATTGACAATCAGTCTCAGTTAATTGTGGCAGATATTATTTTAGCTTTCTTTGGCAGATGTTTTTTTTTTCTTCAGTCAAATTATTATTCGAGTGACAATTAATATAAAACGTAATATAAATGACATACATTATGCCTACGTGATCCCACTGACTTAAAACAGAAATGTACAGCAGTTTAATATGCAGACGTCGTTCTCTGAGCTAGTAGTTTGATTGACAGGGACAAAAGAGATCACTGTCTGAACTTGTTAGTTCTAAAAAAAAAATCTTTTTAGCCTTAGGATGGAAGGATGTGTGATGTGAAAAACACGTTTTGATTTGAATATGTCTTGCAAAATTGTCAGTTTGCCAGGACATTTACCTGCATTTGTAAGTAAAATGAAACCGTTTTTATACAGCAGTGCAGGACCTCTTAACATGTTGAACTCACTGACAGATACAAACTGTTTGATTTAAAAATACCTGAAGAAGACCAGGGAACCTTTCCTTTTGAAGACAGCTGACTGTGAATGTCAGCGTTCATGTGAAGCAGCATTGCCACTTGTGCAGTGCATGGATGTGCTTGCATTATGTGTGTGTGTGTGTGTGTTTGTGTTTGATGTGATCAAGCGTGCTCTAATGCGATAAAACGAGCATGACAACATGCACATCCTCTACAAAACAATCGTTTAAAGCATTCTCAAGTCATCTTACTTCTCCGCAGGCTTGTTGGGGTTTATTTTGAATCTGAATTATTACCAAGAGATCAGAGTGTTGTGTAATTTCTGTCAGTGTGAGGGGTCTTAGGGAGAATTAGTCTTTCTTGGCTTGGTTACAGATACTATTGACTGTTGTTCCTTGATTATGAAGGCGTTTCTGAGAAAGAGAGAGCAAGAGAGAAATGGGGGAAGGAGGAATTAATGAATGGTCAGGAGAGCTTGAAATATGCTGCCACACACAGCAGGAATATACTGAGGGTGAGATATGTTGAATAAATGATCAAATTTTGGGAGCACAACTGCTTTGCTAATTTATGCATTTATGGATTTGGCATATATGCTTTTAAGCATTCAAAGTATACATTTCATTAGTTCATGCATTCCCCTGGGAGTCGAACGTGATAGTGCCATGCTTTACAGTTTGAGCTAAAGGCATACTAAATTAAATCAATTGAACATGAAACCACATTTGTAACAGATTTTTTTGGACCAAAGCTCTGTAAATCCTGGTCACAGTATTTCATATACACCATCCAGTCATATCCAATGCACGCTGTTAAAACTCAATGTGCTCAGGGGAGCTGAGAAAGACGCGGACTCCAGCTGTAACTTTACCTGCTGGTGTTGTACAGTGTTTCTTTAGAAAAATTTGTGATTTATACACTTTAATGTTTTTGTAATATTTGCATTGTTTTATTTTTGTACTACAAATAGTTTTTCTCATCCAATATTTTGAAAGCACCACAGCCACACTCCTCAGGAAAACAAACATTAATTTGCTTACTTAAAGTCGTCTCAGCATGTTAAACTTTGAGAACAGAAAATATTTAAAATATTTAACATTATGCAGCATATTAATCTAACGTATCTTGTAATGCCCTTGGCAGTTTTTTATTATTCTGTTTGCTCTGTTTTTTTTTGTTTTTTGATGGATGCGTCAGAGCCCTCCAGAACCGCAGCCCCTCTGAACTCTCAGGGGTCTGGTCCTCTCACTATTCAGAGAACACTTGTTCAGTCCTGAACCACAGAATGAGGACACTTTTGCATCATTTATACTCCTAAACTGATAAACTTACTGTATAAGTGAGTTTTCCCACTGAAACACCAGAGGCTGATCCGCAGGGTGACTCACACCCATCTGTGAAAAGCACATGTGCATTAGCTTTGTTAAAACTCTCCACTTTACATATGGCAAGTGCTTTATTAAACGGAGAAGTCTTTGACCTGTTTGTTGGTATTGTTTAAATGCGTAAGGCAGTAAGTGTTCTTAAGTATCTCTTCTGAAAACACACACACTCAAAAAAAAAAACATTAGTTATTTGAAGGATCAGATTATTTCTGACCCATCTCATGTACCCAGCTATGCATGCATTCCCTCCAGAAATATTCCCACAGTACAGAGAGAGAAAGATGGTAAGAAATGATTAGGACATGTGAATGAGCTATTCATGGTCTACTGTCAGGACCAGGTCCAATTAAAGAAATAGTTCACCCAAAAATTACCCCACGATTTACTCACCCTCAAGCC